TACAACATACATGGCGCACATAAACCAATCACAACATTACGACAAGTACTAACGAATATAAAGGACAAAGAACAACCCAACGAACGACAAGGTGCAGTTTACAAAATAAACTGCTCCGACTGCCACGCCTCCTATATCGGGGAAACTGGCAAGTACTTAAACATAAGACTTACTGAGCACAAACGAGCTACTAAGAAACAAGACAAAACTAATCACATTGCCGAACATTACCGAATCACAAAGCACAACATTGACTGGGACTCGGCAAAATGCATCACTTACACTACTGACTATAGACAACGGCTTACATTAGAAAGTTGGTATACCAACTTGGAACAAACCCCCCTGAACAGATCACAGCAATTACCGGCACCTTACAAACGATATATTCACAATACAAACAAACGATCAACTAAAAACATTACACTTCAAACTAATTCACAATGATAATACACAATTGACACCCACACACTACAACTAAAAACGTCACACCTAAATCACACATCACAACTAAAAATAAAATATTTCACTTCACACTAATTCACAATGACAATGCACATTTCCTGCACATTTCCCGTACACACAATACAATGACGTAAGAAATAGACAACAAATACGGCTAACCTGACGTTTACTCCTCATTTAACTCTGAAGATGACTACCACTATGGTTGTCGAAACGTCAGTCAACAACAACAAAAACAGTCCTTCTCAGGACTTTATTAACCTGGACAATCATCATTTACAAACATATAACGATACTCCCGGGCTCAAACCATTTACTTTGTTATTTTTCGTAAGCATTTAAACATGGTTATTGTCAAACCATAAAATACAAAAAACATAGACGAGTCATTCAAGTCAGATTTCAAATATTGTATAGAAAATGAATATAATTGAAGCAGAACATCAAATCGCTGTGCTTAACTTGATTTGTTTATGTTCGAAAGTTATTTTTGTCATCGCTTAATCATAAAATGATCATTGTAGAGGGTTTTCATCACTTAGTTACGTACATCAACATATTTTGAACTTTTGATATGATAAAACTTGTTCGTTGATATGTGTTGATTTGTTACTATAAACAACATACTAAAGTCAATATTTTATATGTGTTCTTCATCTTTTATAAATGATCAATGATTGTGGACAATGTGTGGTCGCTAAATATATTTTTGTTACAAAATTTATCTATTTACTTGGATTCATTCATGTACAGGAAGATCAATAATTTTTTGGTGGGGGCTCATATTAATTTATGTATATGATATGTTTTTATTGCTAGCTATTTCATGTAGTTTGCCTATTTTTTTCGAATAATAATCTAACCAATGAAAATTGGTTTTGGTCATAGGCATACAGATTCTTACATCTTTTACACAATTTTGGGTCAACTTTCATAAAAATTATGTCCACCAATTTTTCATTGTTTTTCTTATTACAATGTTTTGTTTACCATTTTTATTGCTTTCATCACTTTTGTTGACTTCTTGACACACTCCCTTTTTTAGCAAGAAAAACTGTGGCAGGACTGTAGGATGATTGTTAATTTGGAAATCATATCATGTATGCATAATATAGGCTACATGTGTTAAGTTCCTTTGAAAACCATTGTTATCTAGGGATCATTACATCCAAATGTTTATGTCACCCCAACCACAGTATAGAGAATATACAGTTGGACAACTTTCTGTGCAACTTACTGCAGTATATATAATTATATTACTGGGTGTATGCCAGCTCAGTGCACCTATTGGTCAAAAAATGGTAGTGTTTTACTGTCACTATGGTAATCACTTGCGGAATAAGATATGCATGGCACAAAATTATTCAATGCAATCTATTGTATGTTCTCTATAAAATATACTATATGTTCCTATAATTGTGCCTCAATTACATTATGTCTTTCTTAGGTCCTAAGTCGTGAATGAAGTATTAGTTCAAATAAATTACACCTGCTCATTTTTTTTTTATCATAATACCTTCTAGACAATGATAATGGTTATGAATTTTTAAAGAATAAAATTTTCAATGTGTTGCCAGAGTGATAAAATGCTTAGTCCTTCTATGTACGTTTTTATATTCTTTTACTGTGAAAATAATAGGCATTTTACCTTGTGAGTCTTAAAGTGTCTCTTCCACCAAATATATTTCTTAGCAATATCAAATCTGTCGATGAGTTTAAGCCTCGTCGAGGCAAAAATTTTGAATTTGGTGAAATCGTTTGATATTTGTAAAAGCGTTTAGTTCACTAAAATCGTATATTCTTGTGAACCATGCCCGTGATAATGAAGAGCCTGAAACTAGCTAATTTTCTGACGTCATCCAAGGTACTCGTGTAACACGAGTCGTGTATTCAATTGCTATCAAGTCAATGCTGGTTGAGGCACAACTTAAGTCTATAAGCGTCGAAAAGCATTGCCTTTGCACTAGTAAATCAGAAAAAAGGTAAATAGTTGCGTTGCAGCCAATTGTACGAACGAGTCAAGACTCTCGTATGAGTCTTCACACTATGCCTTATAATGATAAAAGACCCGAGGCCAAGTGAAGACGGAATATCTGGGTTTTAGAGCAAAGTGGTATTTGAGCCTTCCAGTGCTTCAACACTTCGATTGGCTCAATTAAAACCAGACGATTTGAAGCGTCAGTTTAGTATTTTGCCGAATCAAAAGAACGCTAATTTTCCTGGGCTTAAAAAAGATGAGATTAAAATTCGTGTCTTTCCGACCATCCATGCTTTGGAGTCAAAATCCGAATCATTATCGCTAGAGTTTCGTTGCTTTCCGAGTTTTCTGTCACGTATCCTGGAATAAAGTTTTTGTCAGAATTAACTGACTGAACACTCAATTCTGATTATGATCCATCACTTTCTTCGCAAGACATAATTTTGTCGAATATTTTAATTAAACAGCGTGAAAGAACGTATATGTTTAATATACGTTCTAAATAGGCCCGAATGCTGACTATATTGCATGACGTCAAAATATCTTCTAGTGCCAGTTTCTTATATATTATAGAAAACAACGGCGTTGGGATAAAAATGTACAATTTTAAGATGCCATAAAAGCCTGCTGATTTGACCAAATTTCTGAATTTTTTCTCAGAAATGATTAAAATCATAGACAGATTTCATGCTTTCCGACTTTTCTGTCACATATCCCGGAATAAAGTATTGGTCAGAATTATCTGACTAAACACTCAATTCTGGTTTTGATTCATCGCTTTCTTCGCAAGACATATAATTAAACAGCAATTTATATAATTACACTTACAATTAAGACATATTTTCTGGAATATTATAATTAAACAGCGTGAAAGAACGTATATGTTTAATATAAGCTAAATATGCCCGAATGCTGACTATATTGGATGACGTCAAAATACCTTCTAGTGCCAGTTTCTTTGTATTATAGAAAACGACGGCGTTGGGCCAAAAATTCACAACTTCAAGATGCCATAAGTCTTGTTCATTTGACCAAAATTCTGAAATTTTTCCTCAAAAAGGCTTAAAATCATAGACAGGTTAAAAAAATTTTGGTGGCAATACTAAAAATGTGTCTGAGTGAGGCAGTGTCTGTCTGTCCATCGTGATATCTTCGGCTGTGTCCTCGTTCATAGTCGCAAATCCGAACGATAACGAATAGTAATGACGCAGATTAGTAATGACGGCGATATTCAAAAATGACAAAGAATTTAAATATATTATGGCCCTATGGAAAATAACTACATGAACAATGATATATGTGCCATGTGCAATGCCTCCTCATTATCTTCATTATAACAATAAACATAAACATATAAATTGGAACAGAATCATCGGCAACATAGTCCTATCAATCAGGGGCGGATCTAGGATTTTTCAAACATCAGTCATAAAACGTCGGAGGCGCTCCGCACCTGGGGGGGTCTGAGGCATTCTCCCCTGAGAAATTTTGAATTACAGAGTCTTGAAAATGCCATTTTCAGCGTTTTAGAGAAATTACAAAATGTCTTTTGTGGGCATCGTTTTTGCGTAAAAACAACACATTTTTCTTTACGTTTTTTTTCAAAAAAAAAATAAAGTGAACAATTCTTGAATGTTTTGCCAAATATTTAGGCTCATTATCATGCCAAATATATGGCTCATTAGCATGACTAGGAACGTAAATTTATTTTACAATAATGCTATTCAAAAACAGATATATTCTTTAAAATTTCTACCAAGTTGTCAGGCATAGACCCCCCTAGAGACCCCCATTCAAACTTCTATGTAATAAGTTAAGTTAGAAATTTGGTACTACAAGTGACAGTTCATAGATATAGAAAAGCTCAGACTTCAAACCATGCAAGTTTATTGTAACTCTTTACCCATCTCCACATCAGTGCCAGCAAATTCACCCTTTGAGAAAAACTCAAAATTTTTTCTGCCAAAATTAAGCAAAATTATCAGAGTGAAAATTTGCAGTTAAGGCTTAATGCCATAAATGTTTATTAGGCATTTCACTAGACTATTATCTTCTGCAAGGTGTGCTATATAGCAATCACTAGTAGCATTGTATTATCAAATACAAACAGAATGTAACCAACATGTCTTTAATTATATAATTACATGAATGTTAAAAATGGTTTATGTGTCATGCTTACTGGTTATGATAAATATCTTTCATATGATCAAAGCTTGTTTAAATGTAAATCTAAAATAATTTAGTTTAGAAATTATAATGATCATCAGAAAAATTACCTAGTGATCATGAAAAATACTTTGCTGTTTTGCCAAATTTCAAGGTTTATCTGCATACATAGGAAGACATTTTACTTTATAGAAAATGCTTTTCATACATCAATAGCCCTTTGGAATTTATGGCAAACAATCTGGTATGAGCCGTAGATTAACACACCTTTACATCTCTACATTAGGTGTTCAGTTAGAAAAGGGACAATATGTGACATGGGACAACATTTCATGTATGTGAAATACTCAGGTTTAATACCATTCCAGTCAAATTGTCAAAATAAAAGCTTCATGGATCAGAAGACTCAAAATCACAGGTTATAGTAAACAGCTTCTCATGTAATCAATGTTAGTTTTCTCAAATCTTAAACAATATGTAGTATAACTGTCCAATGATTGAATGATCAATGATCATTAACTGAAAAGCCCCAAACATTTGTTTATGATAAAGTAAATAATAGTATGGCGCCTTATGGCTACAGATTTTTTGTCCATTGAAATATATTTACAGAAATGTAGGATTTCGCTGCCATATAACGGCCACGATTCCCCAAGCACTAAAGAAATCATAGCTAAAAGTCCTTCGGCAACAACAATTTTAGAAGCATCAATCTGCTTACCATACGCCATATTAACATAAATCGCATCACACACTCGCATAAATGGACTTTGATATATTGCATTCATGCATACACTTCACTTCTCCTTTACTTACGATTTTCGATGTAAATTTCTGCTGATAAAACTCAAAACAATGTTGGCTTTCTTTTGAACATCAATGACTGAAATGTCGCTCGCGAGATCGTCTTTGCCAAGCATTTACAATTCATCCATAAATTTTTCACCCTCTTGAAAAAATTTCCAGTTTGGAAAGCAGCATTCATGTCAACATATGAATTTGTAAAAAATTTCCATAAATTCCATCTGATTGTAGTTTAGTTTCTATCATGCTTCAAAAAATTACTATGAACGATTAAACATTCAATTCAGACAGTGAGCTTGACTATGTTAGTTCAGTTGGCTATCAGTCGAAATCGGTCAAACCAATCACAGTAAGACAAAAATTCAAATGAACCAATTGTAAGATAGCAATTGGACTCCCTTATAGGTCCGGCCACCCCTATTATCGGTCGAGATTATTCCAGACTGTCCACTGATCTGGCCATTGACCAATAAAATAGCGTTTCTGGCTTTCATAGACTCCTTTATAAGTCGAACCAGTCAAGCCACCCCGCTTATCAGTCGGTTATTCCAGGTCAATTAAAATTCAACTGATCTGGTTACCAAGGAGATATTGCAATAGTCGTTAGTTTTCAATAATAAATAAAGCTGGATTTTTATCACGAAGTAAATGCGATAATAAAGTAAGAATAATTAATGATTTTTAATTAATATGAATAGGTAAATTTTGAATTTCAAACATCAGTCGCGCGACGGATTTGACATACTCTAGATCCGCCCCTGCTATCAATAAGCAAATAATCGTACAAAACAAAAAAACGATTTAATATATCTTTTCACCACACCATTGTTATACAAATAAGATATAATATTCATTTAAAAACAATCGTTATAATTCAAATAGCGAAAAACTTATCGCTCTATCATTAATGGCAATTATATTGTTTCTCCAAGCTTCCTTTGCACGATATTAGCACGTGAACACTAGCACACATAACATGCACTGAGCGTAGGAGAGCAATAAAAAGGAAAGATAATGATAATTACAGAGCATTGTTATTAAACATTGAACACAGAGAACGTACCAAAGAGAAGTGCCAAAGGAAGGAATGATTTCATTTTGTGGAATTTTGATATGAAAATGTTTTTTTTATTTTGCATATGTTATTATTACTTAATGACCTTGGGACTTGACCTCGGGCATGGTCTTCGAACTTCACTCAATTTAATGAAAAATACAACACTAAGCAGTTGGACTACTGACTACTGTATCTTCTGTGTACTGTAACTCTGGTCAAGGCTACTCACATGTACAAGCTCGTACCCTTTTTTATGTACCTTGTACATCTGGGAACGGTTGCACGAAGCCTGGATAGCATTGTTCGTTGGATAGTAAACTTTTCAAACTTGTAAAAAAATGTGTTTATATTTTCCTTACGGCAAAGAAATTTTGTAATCTTAGAAGTGATATTTTATTTCAGAGCTTGCTCAGCTCAAATCACATATTATTCCTATTTAAGAGATTCTGTAAAAGTTCAAAACAATTTTTAATCTAATGGATAAAACTATTCTGCCTTGACGTAACCGGTCGCAGGTTTTCCTTTATAATCACAATGAATTTGTACCATAAAAGTTTTACCTACTTTTTTTAGCTAACATTGACATGGGGTCTATCTGGAAAGACAAGAAAGTTAATGGTTTTAAGTTGATGAGATTAATTGTTGATGTTGGTGGAGAAGCTTTAAGAATAACATTGAGGAAACAACTGTCAGGTACTGATTTATTTTATTTTTTAAATCACAGAAAACATTATAATAAGCTTTTGTCGCTAAAAGATAAGCAAATAAAGCAACATCAATGGGATCTACTGTATCCTCCTCCTCCAATATTACCAAATGAAAATAAGTTTGACATTACTTTACTTTGTATTCTCCTGCGTAATATTTGTGGTTTAAAACCATTTCGTGATCCAATATGGACGTCAGTAAATGACCCCACTGATCATTCAACTGAAGCAGATATTACCCGTATCAGGTTATTTCGTAATGATCGTTTTGCTCACTTACCTAGCACTTCAGTAAGCTCTAATGACTTTGCAAATTTTTGGCTGGAAATAAGCGAACCATTAGTTCGTTTAGGAATAAGTTTGGAAGAAATAGATAGGTTTAAAAATGAGTTGTTTGGTAATGAAGAATGTGAAAGAATTTTAAGAGAATGGGGTGAATTAAAGAGTGATTTAGAAATTTTAAAATCCGATCACAAAGAAATTATGAATACCTTAGCATTGGTAGGAGATGATATTAATAGAATCAAAGCTTTTGGACATGGACTTACTTCAGTTTCAGAAGAAGATGTTTTGACAAAATACCTTGTTAGCTGTAACTTTGAAAGTGAAATTAGGCATCATAATAAAAAATACTTAAATGGAACACGTGAATGGATTTTTAAAGAGTTTTCAGATTGGTTCAAAGACGACACTTCTCAAAATCGTGCATTTGTTATTTCGGCTGTTGCTGGTATGGGTAAGTCTGTAATTGCAGCCACTTTATGTAAACGTTTTCCTCATTACTTGACTGCAGTTCATTTCTTTCAACACAACAACAGTCGTTACAATAAAGCCAATGTACTTCTTCAATCTTTAGCGATGCAAATTAGTCGTAAGTTTCCTGCTTACAAACAACTTCTTGTGGAAAAACTTTCAGGTCAACTCTCTGAGCCTTTGAATAACATGAATGTGGAAGGATTATTTTCCCTTCTTTTTATTGAGTTGTTTTGTAATATCTCAGAAGTTCCCAAGCGAATGTTAGTTGTGCTTGATGCCCTTGATGAATGTGGTTATTCAGAAAGAGATGACCTTGCTAATTTGATTGCTAATCACTTGCACAAACTTCCGAATTGTTTTCGCTTTGTAATTACAACCAGGCCTAACGAAGTTTCTTTAAACAAGTTTGAAAAATTAACTCCACTATTCATTAATTGCAAAGATCATCGCAATTTAGAGGATATTAAATTCTTGATTGAAGAAAGAGTTGGCTCAACCGACAGCTTTTTTGATTTTAAAACTATTTTGGCAAAAAGAGCTGAAGGACTTATGCTTCTTGCGTCGCTTCTTACCAGTGACGTCAAAAAACAGGAACTATTGATTGGATCCTTACCAAAGGATATTGATGAGTATTATGAAACTTGCTTAAAAAGATTGGGTAATGAATTAAAGCCTTTAGGTATCACTGACGAAAAATTTCTGTCAGTTTTGGATGCATTAGTTGTTGCGAAAGAACCTCTTCCTTGGGAAATGATTTTGGATGTACTTTGTTTAAAACACACCTCATATAGGATAGAAAAAATTATCTCATGCCTGTTTGTTATCAATGCAGAAGGATGTGTTTCATTTTTTCACAAATCTTTAAGTGATTGGTTGTTGGGTGATCGAAAACATGATTACTCAGTAAAAACTTCTCGTGGTCATCGACTTGTTTTAGCATTTTGTTTAAAATCTTTGGATAACCTCAAAGCTGAAGGTGTAAACTATGACGTCATCAAACATGTGTCAGTGAGGTATTCAGTCAAGTATTGGTTGCTTCATTTACTTGATATTTCTGATAATGATTATATCGTTGAAAATGTTGGTAAATATCTTGTTGAATTGGAAGTTTTAGTTGCTTCTGTGTTGGTTGACTTTCGTCGTACTTTTGAAAATTTTAAATCATTCAACGCACATGATGTGTACTTTCTTATTTCTGAGGATATTCGATTGTTATTTAATGAAGTTTACTCTGTAATGACGTACTCTGTACCCTCTGACAATGAAGTAATTTTTTTGCAATACGTTGCAAACGAAGTCAAAGATCTGTCGTCTCAAGCGACCACAATGCTTCAAACACGTTTCAAAGATTTACCATATCTAGAGTACAGAGACATGGGTTTTGTAAAGGCTCGATTATTAAGTTTATATCAAAATTTGATTTCTGTTGATGTTTCACGAAATCATGATTACGTTGTCTGTGGTTATAGAGGATTCGTCGTGCAACTTTTTTCATTGAGAACAAACAAATGTTTATGGATAGAAAATATTGCTGGTGAGCTTAAGCAATATGAAAAGAAAGAATTTTGTGTTGTCTTTCATCCATTCGAAGATTTGATTTTTGCTTCCCAGCTTCATAAGATATTAGATATTAATGGTAAAATTTCCTCCAGTCCGTTCTATTGTGATGATTCTACTTCTAAGTTCTTTACCAACAAATGTTTTTCTAAGGATAAGTACACAATGGTCACTTGTTACAAAGATACTTTGACAGTATGGGACGTTGAGAAAGGTGAGAAAAAACGCAGTATTAGATGTAATAATGTGATCTTTCTGCGTTTTTCTAATTCTGGAAGATATTTGTGTGTTGTTGAGGAAAAAAGAGAGATTCAAATATTTGATGTAGCGAATAATTATAAAACATTCGTTTACGACGATCATTTACCGTCTGATTTTTTAATTGAGTATGGTGTTCTGCTCCCTGTTGGTCTTCATTCTTGGTGTTGTTTATGGCCTTTATCAAGGAGGAAACGTTTCATTGTAAATCCCAATGGTGAGAAACTTCCTGACTTAAATCTGCAACTTTCTAAGCGTCCTCTCGATCCTTTCGATGACAACAGATCTAGCTTTTCCTTTAGTAGATTGGGAACGAATTATTTTATTTTGAATAACGACAATGTTCTTTTGTTTGATGGCGGAATTTTTATCTCAGACTTTAATCTTTATTCAATACCACGTGCATGTTTAACTAACAGTTACCTGTTTGATGACGAGAAATTTTGCTCAAATGGAAAATTTCTGTATCGGAGCAATGTAGAAAATTCAAGTGTAATTATATACAATCTCAACACATTTGACTTTGTTGTCAAGGAATGTTTTGTTAGTGACATGGTTGCTGTAGAAAATGGAGTTATTTTGCTTACGGCAAAAAATATTCCTGAGCTCTGGAATAATGATTTGACAAAACTTGTTTATAGTTTTGATGAACTAAAAGGTACAAACAAAATTTTTGAGGTGAGTGATGTATTATTTGCTTGTCAAAAAACTGATTCTTTTGTGTTTCTCAATGTTGAAAGCAAGCGAAAAGAAATATCAGTGAATTTTGAAAACTATCGAAACGTGCACGTATTTGCATGTAGCTCTAAGTATCACGTGTTTGCTAAAGTTGAATTTGAGGATCAGATAATTTACTGTATGTGGCATGAAGACAAACTTGTAAATGGTTGGGATGGCATAATTCAGAAGAAAATCGCCAAAATAATGACAGATGAATTCATTAGAGAGTACATGAGTTTTACTACTCACTACATAACTTACGCAGATTTTTCACCTTCAGCAAATAAATTAGTAATACATGAATCAGAAATGTTTGTGAAAGTATTTGACGTTAAAAACATGCAAATTATTTATAGTTATATTAACTATTTTGTAGAGTCAAAGCTTTTCTTTGTTGATGATAGATATATAATTAATGATAAATTAAATTTGATTGATTTGAAATATTTTAAGAATTTAGATTTATTTTTCAACGCTGTGAGAACATTTCTAACAAATTTTTATTACTGTCGTAAACGCAAACTTGCTTTAAATTTTTCTTCCTTCAAGGTCCCTGTACAATGCGTAAAAATCATCTTGCCACGAGGATAAATTTGATATTTGAGGATAACATTTCTCCCAATTTTGGATAATGACTAAATTATCTTTAAGAAAATCTTGTTCAGTTTTTATGCATGATCCCTATCATTGTTGACATTTCAATTAATGTCTGTTTGCGTATGATTTCATGTAACGACCTTTGTCTACTTTTCATTGTTTTGTGCAGAGACCGCAGTGTACAATAATGTCAACTTTGAGAGTGATCATGTATAAAAGCTAAAGTTAATCAATAAAAGATGAAATTTCAATGACAATAAACACAAACCATAAACTTAAGTGATTTCGTTGCACAAGAAAATAATTTTATTAACTTTTGTCTTATCACACAAACATATAAAATGCAAACTATTCTTAGTTATTGTACCATTGGTTATATTTTATTTATATCTACACCATGTAAACATATAATTTTCATGCAAATGTATTCAGTGTAGGATGGTTTTAATATTGCACGTTTTTTAATACTCTTTTACACCAAAAACAAGTTGTTACTAATTAAATCAATACTATGTTGCACTGAAATAATTTCTTAATACTTTTTAATTATTGCATTTTGATATACAAAATATCCATGTTTTAAGTTGTTAAGAGAGACAAAGACAGCCCAATTGTTACTTCGGTTATATGAATATTTTCATTTTTATTAATTGAAAAACGTAAATTTATAATAAAACAATGGTACCTTTGCTAATTTTTTCAAGAAAAACTAAAAATTTTGCTGTCTTTCTCACTGACTGTTAAAAAGTAAGTCGTAAATTCCACAAGAAAATGATTTCATGATTGACATTCATCATCGCGATAAACAATTTAACCATTGAGATGGAACACTCCAATTCATGTTTTTGCTGTAAGAACAGGAAAAGTTAACTAAAGCCAAAGAAAGTTTTTCAATATAGAGAGACAGAACAAGCCACAATGTTACATATGGAAGGGTGTTTAACGAGAAGTTTTTAACTTTTAATGAAAAATCGATATCAAGCGTTGTTAAAGTTTAAACACTTTTACTTTGTGAATCGATACTTATGGGAAGTATTTCTTAACAACATCAATACAAGAAGGAGAAGCTTTGTTTCAAGAAATGACGTAATAAAAGAAATGACAAATTTATGTACCATGGTTCTCTGTGGATTTATTGTTGTACTTTGTAACGTCACCCTGGTCACATGTTCATTGAAATGTCATCTGTTCCATGAAAATTGGAAGATATGAACTTTTACATTTTTAGAATGGTGAAGCTGGCTGTTCACTTTGTTCACTTTTTATAAAACTGAAGCGTGAAAGTTATCATCTCATGTGGACGTTATGATGTGAACATAACAGATAAGGAATCATGAGAGTGAATAAAAAGAATTTGATTTTATTACACTGTCGCTATTGGAGATGGCTAAACGATTTTTTGCTGCATCTATAATTGAAGCTGCTTCTTGATACAAACACATTGTCATTGTGAATATTATGACTTTTGATTGCCTTTGCGCATGCTATGAATTATATATATGTACTTGAATGATACTATAACATTTGTGATATGAATTAAGATCTTATCAGCAACATGTCATGGAAATGTTGCAAACGTCAACTATGGATGTTTGTAGAATAAAAGTGATCAGTTTATTTCTTATGAAGGGTCAACAAATCATTCACAACATAAATGACTTCAACATTAAAGAGCTACATCAAGTTACGAGAAGGAGAAATTTGGAAAATTTTATTGTCTTTCTTTTTCAAGATGTCACCTTTGTAGATCTACTATGTTTTATTTTTTATGTAGTGAACAATTTTAAATAATTAAATTTTATTTCGTATTGTTGTGTACATATCTACGTATAGTGAATAGATATCTTTTATAACAACTCATAAACGGACATGTACCGTAAGCAGACATTAGGTCGTGGTCTCAATGATGTCCGTTTGCGAGAGGTTAGACAGTATGAAACTTTTCGTTTTTATTCTCTATATTTATGTTTCTTGATTTTTGTTGTGCTCTTTGAATGTTAAATGCTAAATAAATGAATCCTAAATAACTCAACACCAATTTTTGGACTAAAAGTAATTTGCGAAGTGCCATGAGAAGAAAGACATCACTCGTGCTTTAAAAAAGGAGGTGTCGTATCTTGAATTCAAAACTGCCAATTTTGAAAAATAGCATCGAATAGTTGTTTAATAACTTTCACTCAATATTTAGTAACATTTTTTGGTAACTGTCATCTTGTAAAGCAAGTTAAAAAATACTCACATTGTAACAAAACAGAACAATTGCCGTTGGCATTCTAGAGTCTGGTTTGGATTCATTTATTTAGCACTTATGATAAATTATTTAGGGGAAACTTTCTTTTTGCTCAGTGTTTAGTTCAACTCTGTTTTTTAAGCATATTAACATAATTTTATATATTATTAGTTTGTATGTTGTTGGAGGAAATAATCGCTGTATAAATATATTTTTTGCAGACATGTTACAATATATGTGCGTTGATCTATATTAGGATTCTCGGGAAATTAGGCTCACGATTTCTCGAGGAAGAGAACATTAAATGTTTTGTTGTAGCTGTAGGAAAAAAGATCATAGACTTCGACAGCTCTTCAATAAATCAATGTCTTTATGGGGAAATTCGGCAGGCAAAATTTCTTAGCAAAGTCCTAAGGGTAACCACGGAATATTAAATCGACTTCTGAGTGTTTTCTGAATCCTTTTTTGCTATTAATAGTTGATTTTCGCTGCTTAAGAAGTTCGAGAAACGTCTTTTAGTTTTCGGCTTGGTGGCTGTTTTATTCTTTATGATATTAAAATGAGCGGGCAACAATTTTTCACTTGTTTCCCTTGCAGGAAATCTTGTATTGTTTCAAGTCTTGTGACTACGAATGAACCAATCATATTTAACGTACAAAGCCCCAATATAACAATGGAATTTATTGCTGCTAAGAACGGGGGAGAATTTTAAAAGAGTTTGTTTTGATCTTTCACACTACATCTCATACATACACCTTCAATATCTCACAACCTGCTTTGGCTGCCTCTTTCATTGTGTTGTATAATCATCTTTACTTAAGAGATGACGATTAACTTTTGGTTTCACTAAAATAATTTACTTCTATATTTTATTGCATGAAGAAAGAGAGTTAAAATAATATGTACTAATTACAAAACACGATCACATTTTGTACTTTATCATTTACAGATAAAGTCAAATGTATAAAGATATATCTGACGTAAAGTGAATTTTATCACTTCACACAGAAATTGCAAAGAGTAAGTTTAATAATAAACAATATTTAAGTTAAATACAGCATGTTGTGCGTTCAAAAATGCCGATTGATTAACGAAACGATTTTTACCTTCAATGGTTTATAAATAGGCATAATTTGAAAATTTATTTTCCAATTTGAATGGTTTGCAGAATCCCAAGTATAAATCAAACGACTCAATTCATGCACATCATTAGTCTCATAAAAATTTGTTTAGAAAAATGCATCAGTTAGACACGGTGATGAGACATTGAAATTTCACAATAGGTTGACTTTTATAAAGATCTTTTTTGAAACATCCTGTGTTTGTAACTTTTTGGGAACACCCCGTATAATGTATATATGTACTTAAAGAATGATTCACATGCTGAGATCATCTGCTACAATTGCATTTATCCCTTCCCCCGGGAAATATCCCGCCATATTCATTTCATTTTTTGATCTTCAGTTAGGAACTGAGGCTGTTAGCGATTATACGATGGAAGACGTTTTCCCGAAGGAATAATTTGAGAATATTGTGCAGCCAATTGTTTGTATCAAAACTAGTTATAATACAAAACACAAAACGTGAAGCATAAACAATAAAGAAGTTTCCAATAGTGTTTGCGTCAAAAGAGTGAGGAATCCCAAAGGTTTCGGTTTTTTACTTTATTTAAAATTCATTTTTTTGAATGCTGTTTTCATGATAGCTTTGCTTTCATGCACTTGGGTTTTATTCTAACTGTGTTGTGGTTTGATATGATACCTGAGAAAGAGTGGTCAGCCATGTTTGAATTTTTGTGGAGTTGCTAATTTGAAACATTTGTGGACACGATTAACTCTGAGATGATGAGCTAATAGCACAAGATATGGATTCAAACGTAAAGCAAGTTAAATCATTCATCGTAAATGTGGAAGTTAAAGTTTAAAGTTGCTTGAGGATCATTCTCTATGGCGTTGTGAAATACAATGTTGTTTCTATTGGGCAAGAACTTTGCTTTTTGGATTGTCAAGTCAAGTGTACAGAAATATGAGATTAGAACAGTTGACATTGGATCCGACATGTAACAAGCAGCCTAAGAAGCTTGTGAAGCGTGTGAAATATTTTGTCGTGGATCTGAGGAAGATGATGATAATGCAAATGTGATTGAAATATGTATGTAAACTAAATAAAGGTTTAAAGCGTTATTCTCCAACTAAAATCTATGGAACACCAATGTGGGGAAGTTCAAAATCCCATCGTTCATCATTTCTTGAAACTATTTATAGCTAAGGTTGTCTTTGTCATTGTGGAGTGGAAAATACGATACGTTGGCGCATGTGTTGCTTTTGGGCCGAACATCTTCCAACAAGCAAATAGTCCGTTTGTCACAAAAATTATATACAATGCTATATTTCAAGAGTTACGTTTGATAGCAAAAAAATATTGTTCATTGTGTAATAAACGTCTGGGGCATTAAATATACCCTAACGGTCGTACGTAGAGGCGTTTATATAATTTCTATCACTTAGCAAAGCAAAAACGTTAAACTAAATGCACGTTTCTGACTTCTGAGCACCATCAATCCACTATTATATTTGTGCAAAGCGTCTATTATAGACGAGGCGCTTATTAGAGATACAAGTAGTTCGTTTGATAAAGGTCTTTTTTAGATCGAAAAAATTTGGACGAAACATTTTGTACTGTACCTTCGCACTCTTAAAGATAGTCGCGCCTATGCATTATAACAAGTTCCTCTCTATCACGTCTTCGACAACCATTTTATGAAAAATCTGGCGTAAATATTCTGTCAACGTTTACCGCAGTCAGCGGCTTACTACGATTGCAGGAGTATGGACGGAAGAGAAGTGGATATCTTTTTAGTAAAGTAATAACTTCCTTTTAACTCCGCTTTAAACTGCTCAATTGCACTTCTCGCTTTATCAATTACAAAAAATTGATAAAGCTCTTGCACAAGCTGTTTTTAACTATGCGTCTATACAGATCAATTATCTTTACATCTTTACATTTTACTTATATTTATGCTATAATTTAGAAGCTTCAAGCGATATCATAATGTAGTTTTTCAATGTAAACTTGGCGTTTTCTTTAATAGTGAAGTACCTGTATTAAAGTCACTTCATTTACCGGAAGTAATCTCAATTTTGTTTAGGTAAAATGACGAACAATATGACATATGTACGAGCTGGACGAAACTTCTGAAATCGAGACCCCCTAAAATGGCAGTGTCGACATAGCTTTACTTACAAAAAAAGGAATAACCCCTATGAAATGCTTAACGTGTTTAGAAGGTCCCCTTTAGCGGTTGTGAAGGGAGGGAAAAAATTTGCATAAGATAACAGAGCAAGTTCTATTTCCATCCGTTTTTTCAGACTGACGGATCCGACTATCGGAAGCTCGCTCACTTTATGTATGTTCACACGATCCGTTTTTCTTAATCCGACGAAATCGGATCCGACAAGTCGGATCATGTAAACGGACCTCTGCATACATGAGTCACACGAGTCGTTCGTCTTGTGTCAGTCTTGTGTGGAGTTGAATTTGTGCCGCAGCCTGCAGTGAGCAATATTTAAAATTCATTATGTTATCATCCACGTAAACGTTAAAGGTTGAAAATGTTTTTCTGGCGATTTATGATCATGATATCAAGAATTATTCCTTCCATCTAATGAAACGGTAAGATAAAGATTTTTTATCCTTACAGGCGACTCGAATTGATTTATATCTGTTGATTTGCAACTGAAACAACATACTAAAGTCAATATTTTATATGTGTTCTTCATCTTTTATAACATATCAATGATCATAGACAATGTGTGGTAGCTAAATATAATTTTTTTATAATATTTATCTATTTACTTGGATTTATTATCCTTAAATGACGACTCGAATCAAATTTAATTTACGCATCCTATCTAAGTAGAACAAAGACAGTTTTTCATCCGAAATTTACTAAGAACATTGACTATTGTCGATTGTCGGTATGATTCGACCCTATAACTAGTTTGAAAATTGCTTTATTATTCGTGATAAGCATTTAAACATAGTTATTGTACAACAATAAAATACAACAAACATAAACAAGATATTCAAGTTAGATTTCAAACATTGCATACGAAATGAATATAAGTGAAGCAGAACATTAAATCACCGTGTTTAAAAAGATTTGTTCTTCTTCGAAAGTTGTTTTTGTCATCGTTTGACCTTAAAATTATCGTTATCAAGAATTTTGCATCACTTAGTTTTGTACATCGACATATAATTTTCAATGTTTGATGATATGAAACTTGTTTGTTAATATGTGTTGATTTGCTACTGAAATAACATACTAAAGTCAATATTTTTTATGTTTTCTCCATCTTTTGTAACTGATCAATGATTGTGGACAATGTGTGGTCGCTAAATATAATTTTTGTTACAAGATTTATCTATTTACTTGGATTCATTCATGTACAGGAAGATCAATAATTGTTGGGTTGGGGCTCATATTACAAACAAACAAACAAACAACATTTGTATACCGCCAGTATTAATCCCGCCAGAGGTTGACCGTCCATGAATTTTCCGTAAAGCGTCTCTATCTCGCCATATCTCTCGTTATACCCATCGCCTTCATATCACTGTTCACAGCATCCATCCATCTCTTTCTCGGTCTACCTCGTTTGCGGACTCCATCAACTTTCATATGCAACGTTCTACGAATTTTAGCACTTTCTTCCCTCCTTTCCACATGCCCAAACCACCTCAAATTAGTTCATATTAATTGGGCCTCATATTAATTTATGTATATCGTGTGTTCAGTTGTATTAAGTTTTTTTCAAATACATTGTACACCCCACCAATTATCCATCTTCCTACAACTATGCTTGGATTTTTATTCTTCAAATGCTAGTTATTTCATGTAGTTTTTGTGTAGTTTCCCATGAAACAGTAATCAAACCAATAACAAATAGTTTCAGTTTTAGGTGTACACAATATGATATATGTTGCATGTGTTGAGCTCCTTTGAAAACCATTGTTGTGTGTGGATTATCACATGCAAATGAATATGAGCACCTCACCCCAATTATATTTTTCCTTCTTAGGTACTAAGTAGCAAATCGAGCGTTAGACCAAATAAGTTATAGCCGACCATTTTTTATTAAAATCTGGCTCTTGGTTAGGAATTTGACTTTCTAAGGAATAAAATTAACAGTGGCATAACCAGACCTGTGTGATATTTAGTCCTGCTTTGTATATTTTATCTTCTTTTACTCTGAAAATAATAGATATTTAAAGAATACTGTTGTTCATCCCTACATTTTATGTTTGAGTCTTAACTATATTTTTTATATATGTTGTACATCAGGTTTTTCATTATAAACGTGACAAATTATGTACCATAAAAGTTTGACCTACCTTTTTTCAGCAAACATTGACGTGGAGTCTGTCTTGAGCTCTAAAAAGAAAACTAATGGTTTTAAGTTGATGAGATTAATTGTTGATGTTGGTGGAGAAGCTTTAAGAATAACATTGAGGAAACAACTGTCAGGTACTGATTTATTTTATAATTTAAATAACAATAAAAATTATGATAAACTTTTGTTGCTAAATGATAAGCAAATAAAGCAACATCAATGGGATCTACTGTATCCTCCTCCTCCAATATTATCAAATGAAAATAAGTTTGACATTACTTTACTTTGTTTTCTCCTCCGTAATATTTGTGGTTTAAAACCACCTCATGATCCAATATGGGAAAACATACCCAATGTCACTGATTATTCAACTGAAGCAGATATTACCCGTATCAGGTTATTTTGTAATGATCATTTTGCTCACTTACCTAACACTTCAGTAAGCTCTGATGACTTTGAAAATCATTGGCTGGAAATAAGAGAACCATTACTTCGTTTAGGAATAGGTCAGGAAGAAATAGATAGATTAAAAAATGAGTTGTTTGGTAATGAAGAATGAGAAAGAATTTTGAGAGAATGGGGTAGATCAAAGAGTGATTTAAAAGTTTTAAAATCACAAATTACGAATGCCGTAAAGGATGTCGGTGTGATAGTGATAATTTAGAATTAGTAGGAGACGATATCAAAGAAATCAAAGCTCGTGAACATGGACTTAATTCAATTCCCGAACACGGTATCTTGACTAAAAACCTTGTAAGTTGTAACTTTGAAAGTGAAATTAGTCAACACTACAAAAATACTTCCATGGAACACGGGAATGGGTTTTTGATGAGTTTTAAATTGGTTCGAAGAAGACAGTTCTCAAAATCGTGCATTTATTATTTTTGCTGTTGCTGGTATGGGTAAGTCTATCATTGCAGCTACTTTATGTAAACGTTATCCAAGTTATTTCGCTGCAGTTCATTTCTTTCAACACAACAACAGTCGTTACAATAAAGCAAATGTACTTCTTCAATTTTAGCGATGCAAGTTAGTCGTCATTTTCCTGCTTACAAACAACTTCTTGTGAAGAAACTTTCAGGTCAACACTCTGAGCCTTTGAATAACATGAATGTTGAAGGATTATTTTCCCATCTTTTTACTGAGTTGTTTTATAATTTCTCAGAACTTCCCAAGCAAATGTTAGTTGTGCTTGATGCTCTTCATGAATGTGGTTCCGTCTTGTTTTCGTTTTGTAATTACAACAAGACCTAACGAAGTTGCTTTGAATAAGTTCAAAAAATTAAATCCACTGTACATTAATTGTAGCGATGATCGCACTTTGAAGGATATTAATGTATTGATTGGTTCTATTGACAGCTTTCCTGATTTTATAAATACTTGGACACAAAAGCTGACGAACTTATGTTGCTTGCATCGCTTCTTACCAGTGAAGTCAAAAATCAGGATTTATCGAGAGGTTCCATACCAAAAGTTCTCAACGAATATTACGAAATTTGCTTAACAAGATGAAGTAAGGAATAAGATTCGTTCCATATATTATAAACTTTTATTTTATATTTATATATATTTTAGTAACGATGTGTTTGCTAGTGTCTAGATATAGCTAGGTTTGACTGTCTATGATAAACTTTTATTTTGTATTTATCATTTATATTTAAGTAACGATGTGTTTGCTAGTGTCTAGATATAGCTAGGTTGGACTGTCTATGATAAACTTTTATTTTATATTTATCATTTATATTTTAGTGACGATGTGTTTGCTAGTGTCTAGATATAGCTAGGTTAGACTGTCTATGATAAACTTTTATTTTATATTTATCATTTATATTTAAGTAACGATGTGTTTGCTAGTGTCTAGATATAGCTAGGTTGGACTGTCTATGATAAACTTTTATTTTATATTTATCATTTATATTTTAGTGACGATGTGTTTGCTAGTGTCTAGATATAGCTAGGTTAGACTGTCTATGATAAACTTTTATTTTATATTTATCATTTGTATTTTAGTGATGATGTGTTTGCTAGTGTCTAGATATAGCTAGGTTAGACAGTCCATGATAAACTTTTATTTCATATTTATCATTTATATTTTAGTAACCATGTGTTTGCTAGAGCCGACGCTTCCAATGTTCTTGCTTACAATATCATCATGTTGAGTACAGATCTACATAGTTCACAGGTTACACAGACTTTACTATGATTTGGTGTGAAATTGACTTTGAGTAAGATCACGTGACTTCATCGTAATCACGTGGAATTCTTTTTCAGGTTAAGCGAAAGATAACCAAACATGAACTGTGGTATAAATAATAGTAAAGATCATCCATCTGAATATCTTGAAGCACTTTATGATATGAGACAGAGAGCCAGGCCCCTTGGCAAAATTCTTGGGTCCACTAAAATATATTATTTTATTAAAATTAATTACAACAATGGTTGTGGCTCCCCTTCCCTTTTATCTCCTCCTCCTTGACAGAAAATCCTGGCTACTGCAATGATATATCATTGCTGTTAAATACTATAGATGAAGGAATGACTAAGAAGAACTGCAAAGATGACTTCATCTTACTAAGTTCTGACTTTCCAGGCTGCTGTCGAGACTGCTGAGTAGCTCGGGATGTCTGTCTGACATTGTGCATTTACAAAACTGAAGCTTGTGTATTTAGTTTCTTTTCCTTACTTATAACCCTACTTATAAGAATTCTATAACTTTTTCAGTACTTATAACCAATTTTTTTCTGCGCCAATCTCAAATATTTTCTGGGACATGATCCACGAAAACCTCTTCATCGCCAACCTAAAATCTTCACTTAACACCCAAGGCAGCTTCATTTCTCTTAAGCTTTTCTAGTCTCAACACTTCAACCTAACTATACATCACATCACACTTACACATCAACAGTAATCTAATACCTCTAACTATGTAAATTACTATATATATACCTACATTTCGTTGTTAACTTCCTTATTAGTCTGAAGATGTCTTGAGTCAAGACGAAACGTCAGTATTTTAATAAATTTCACAAAACCAAATTGCTTATGGCTATGTTCAAAATTATATGTTGGGCTGTAATATTTATATTGAGAATCTGTTTCCCGCCTGGCACCTCACTGGCAACAATATAGATAATTTCTTTTGTACATAAAAGGAAAAAACATGCTCAGAAAAAGTTGTGATCTTTTATAAAAACAAGACTATAATTAACCATAATATTTCAATTACGGTAATACTACAAAGCCATCTTTTCTTCTTCTACAAAAATCAACACAGAAAAGAGATTTCAGCCATATATGAAGACCATGTAAAGTCTAACCATAATTTTCAAGAAATTTCATGCAATCAATCTACAAGCTTTCTCAAATTTTCGTGCATTCTTTTGCAAAAGCAAAATGTTTCCATAGTTGCATAAAGACATTTTGAATTGAAGAACTGGTAAGACGACCGGTGCTTTGTACCCACTCATGTACCCACTCTATCTGCTAATCTTCAGTCTCGGAATTTCAGAAAAGAAATTTGTCATGCATTCATGATCGATACGAATACTTTTTGGCATCTTCTGTTGAAAATAATTTTCTGAATCATATTGGTGACTACGTTATGCAACGTGTTGAAATGAAGAATTAGACGTTTAGGTCATATGTGGTGAGTAAAATTGTATAACACATTAATTTTGAAACGATATTGTTAGCCACTCTACTATTGTATCAAAGTTCTTTAGTTTGGCTAAATTGTGAAATACCAGGTCCGCGGATACGCTTTGAGCATGCTATAATGCCATAATAAATTCATTATGGGATGATTCCAAGTTCCGAGACAATAGAAATCAATGTCAACTCTTTCCCGGCGGACACGATAAACGGGAAACAGAGCTGTGTCCCCATTGAGTTTATTGTCTATAAATTTCGTTATATAAAACGTACAAAGACAAATTTACCTATGAATTTTAGCTAATACATTACAATGTTTGTAGAGTAATAGAAAATAATACGATGCTACTATGGTATCGACATATATGGTATGGAGTATTTCGCTAGAAGTTCGGTATCGTGAGGTATCGATTACTCAGTAATCTGTGGTCGCCAATCCCTTATATTGAATATGAATTAGGAAGTGTTCGTGCAATTCTTATGTTATCATCCACAAATATTTTTCTGGCGATATATGATCATGATATCAAGGAATATTCCTTCCATCTAATATAACGGTAAGAATAATATTTTACATCCTTAGATGGCGACTCGAATTAATTTTATTTTATTTACCTATCTATAAGTAGAACAAAGATGGCTTGTCATTTAAATATTTCTAAGAACAATGATCATTGTAGTTACAGTTCAACTCTAAATCTTGTACGAAAATTGCTTTATTATTCGTGATAAGTATTTAAACATGGTTATTGTCAAACCATAAAATACAACAAACATAAACAAGATATTCAATTTAGATTTCAAAAACTGTTTAAGGAAGGAAATGAATGTAAGTGAAGCAGAACATTAAATCACTGTGTTTAACATGATTTTTTCATGTTGAAAAGTTATTTTTGTCATCGTTTAATATTAAACTACCGTGAAATTGGCACCACATTGGGCACGACATTCAACACAACATTCATCACAACAATCAACACCACATTCAACTAAAATTTATCATTCAAAATGATAAATCGAAAAATCGTCTTTAAAACACGTTTTCCATCAAATACAACAGTAAAAAACAATTCTTAACTGTTTATTACTATTTTACCGTCCTTAACCATCACAAAAAATGTATATAAGTCAAGAAATTGAAGAAAACACTAAGATTTATATTACAGTGTACTTTCCATTTCTCTTAATTAGCCTATAATTTAAAAACTGCACGGTAGAATTTTTTTAAACTTGGCCAGAATATAGATATTTATATTGTCTAAAATATATCCAAAATCTGGAGGTGGCACAAAAAAATAAGTTGTAGAAAATCATCGACAAAGTCGGATGACACGTATGCGCGTAATATAATCTTCCATATTTAAGTTAAGAATTCCCGTTCTTTAACAAACAAAGCTTTATAAATCAAAAACTACACGGTAGAATTTTTTTAAATTTGGCCATATTGTAGATATTCTTACTGTCTAAAATATATCCAAAATCTGGAGGTGGCACAAAAAAATAAGTTGTAGAAAATCATCGACAAAGTCGGATGACACGAATGCGCGTAATATAATCTTCCATATTTAAGTTAAGAATTCCTGTTCTTTAACAAACAAAGGCCTATAAATAAAAAACTACACGGTAGAATTTTTTTAAATTTGGCCATATTGTAGATATTCTTACTGTCTAAAATATATCCAAAATCTGGAGGTGGCACAAAAAATAAGTTGTAGAAAATCATCGACAAAGTCGGATGACACGAATGCGCGTAATATAATCTTATATAATTAGGTTGAGAATTTCAAGTCATTGAAAACAAAGGCCTGTAAATAAAAAACTACGCGGTAGAATTTTTTTAAACTTGGCCAGAATATAGATAATTATATTGTCTATAACATATCCAAAATCTGGAGGTGGCACAAAAAATAAAAGAAATAATATTCCTTGAGAATGTACTCTGGTATTAACCGTGAAGTTGGCACCACATTCGACAAACAGCTCTATAGCTAAAAAACTACACGGTAGAATTTTTTTAAACTTGGCCATATTGTAGATATTCTTATTGTCTAAAACATATCCAAAATCTGGAGGTGGCACAAAAAATAAGTTGTAGAAAATGATCGACAAAGTCGGATGACACGAATGCGCGTAATATAATCTTGCATATTTAAGTTAAAATTCCGGTTCTTTAACAAACAAAGCCTTATAAATAAAAACTACACGGTAGAATTTTTAAACTTGGCCAGAATATAGATAATTATATTGTCTAAAATATATCCAAAATCTGGAGGTGGCACAAAAATAAGTTGTAGAAAATCATCGACAAAGTCGGATGACACGAATGCGCGTAATATAATCTTGCATATTTAAGTTAAGAATTCCGGTTCTTTAACAAACAAAGCCTTATAAATAAAAAACTACACGGTAGAATTTTTTTAAACTTGGCCAGAATATAGATAATTATATTGTCTAAAATATATCCAAAATCTGGAGGTGGCACAAAAAAATAAGTTGTAGAAAATCATCGACAAAGTCGGATGACTCGAATGCGCGTAATATAATCTGGCATATTTAAGTTAAGAATTCCGGTTCTTTAACAAACAAAGCCTTATAAATAAAAAACTACACGGTAGAATTTTTTTAAACTTGGCCAGAATATAGATAATTATATTGTCTAAAATATATCCAAAATCTGGAGGTGGCACAAAAAATAAGTTGTAGAAAATCATCGACAAAGTCGGATGACACGAATGCGCGTAATATAATCTTATATAATTAGGTTGAGAATTTCAAGTCATTGAAAACAAAGGCCTGTAAATAAAAAACTACACGGTAGAATTTTTTTACACTTGGCTGTAATGTAGATATTCTTATTGTCCATAGCATATCCAAAATCTGGAGGTGGCACAAAAAAATAAATGATAGAAAATCATCGACATAGTTAGATGACACGAATTCGCGTAATATAATCTTGCATGTGATGAACAGTTGTTTTTATTTTGTTTTGTTGTGACGTAGCGCGTGCATTTCACGTGATTGACATTTTGGGATTATGACAGAAGGGGGGAGTGTTGTTGAAAATAAAAGAATTCGAGATGTTGTTGTTGTTTAATAACGTAGTGTTTTTCTTTTGACGACTTCGTTGTAAAAAAATAACGATTTTTTCATGCAACGTGCATGACATTGCATATTTAAGTTAAGAATTCCTGTTCTTTAACAAACAAAGCCTTATAAATAAAAACTACACGGTAGAATTTTTAAACTTTGCCATATTGTAGATATTCTTATTGTCTATAACATATCCAAAATCTGGAGGTGGCACAAAAACAAATGATAGAAAATTATCTTATAATTAGAAAACGGCTATTATTTACCACAGTATTTTTCTTTCTATCGCATTTTTTACGTTGTTGACACGATCAGAATATCGATTAACGATTTCAATTTTCTGAAAATGTTCCTCTTGCATTCTGAACCTATATGAAGTTACTTTTCTTCGACGATGAATAGAGAATTGAACGTGACTTTTGGCAGATTTTAGTTACTACGCTCTTGCCCGTTTCCGCTTTCTTAACACGTCATCATCATCATCATCATCATCAGCCGTTCACGCCACTGCTGGCAGATGGCCTCCACAACTTCTTCCACTATATTCGGTCTTTAGCTCTCCTCATCCAGGTCTTTCCAGTTTCCTCTTCGATCTCGTCTCTCCATCTTCTCTTTGGCTTTCCTCTTCCTCTGGTGCAGTTTCTTGGGTACCATTCTGTTGTCAATTTGGCCCATCTGTTGTTTTCCATTCTTGC